CAGTCTGAAATTACAAAACACTTTGCATGGCTAAATGTTTCTCCACCCCGGCGAAATTGCCCATTTTGGCCAATTTGGTTTATGTGTCTGAAGACGTTGATTTGGATATATCGAGCTTTTAAAGCCGGCCCGCTTGGTGAGACTCTTTTTGTTGTACAGTAACCACAAATAAATGGCTTTCACAATTAGAGGTTTAAATAATGCAATGGCTCGTGTTCAGTCCTAAGCAGGATTCCAATGAGCTTTCTAATGCATGTAATGATTAAGTGTAATTCAAATACCAACTGTGTTGTTCAAAATCTGACAGGCAATAATTTGCTCTATTATATTGTGCCATTTAATTGCCTGCTACCGACAACCTCTGACGTGCCATGAAGCAATGATTTACAATTACTCCAGCAGTAAAGATCAGGGGATGACAATATAATCATCTACACAGAGATCCCTTCTCATCTGCCACAACTAGTGAGGCAAGTAAAAATAGTTTGGAGCTTGTAGTTTTAACTCCACTCTATTTGAGGATTAGAAGATATTACGGCTGCGGAGGACGTTTAACAATAGCAGTTGTGTTAAGAGCTGGCTGCGACGGAATGGGGCGAGTCAAGATGTCGGTTTGCTGTCAGGGACAGGCCTCACGCGCCAGCGGAGGGACATTATTGTTGGGGGTAAAGCGTTACTGATGTCGGAGTTTAATCTAAATGAGGAAACGCCAAGTGGAAGATCAAGCAACAGACTTGAGAGAGTTTCCCCATCCATCCTCTTATGAACTCCGTAAGACTTTATTACCATATAAATGATAAAGGATAACGTAAGAAAAAAAAAGTGCAATAATTGCGCTTCCCTGTGTTGCTGTCTGATGTAAATGTTTCTAAAAGACAAAATAAGCTAATCGACGGCTTCCAACAAAGTTAAGTATCCTGGCCTAATTTGAGTGTGGAATTATGGAAAACAAGTTTACTCCATATTAAACCGATGTTTCACAGCATTTAAGGAGCTGATACATAATTTAGCGCTTACAAAAACGAGCACAGCATGTCGGGGGGGGGCAGGTGGGGGGGTCCTTAGAGGGAAGGCAAGGCTGCTGAGTGCACTGCCTGTTTAAAAATGATGGAGGAGAACAGGGGATTCTCATTAAGTGGCTTCACTCCACCCCGAGCAGCAGACACTAGAGAGAATGCAGACAACATCACAGGCTCGTGTTTCCCCATTAAATATGAAGGATTGTGCAATATGTGCAGGCAGGCAGTTTGCCGGGGTCAGCCATCGCACACTTTCTGCTGTTTCTGCAGGTCATGTCATGATGACCGACTTTACCCCACTTTCAATCAGTTCCTTGTGTTTTAGGAGATGGGGCAGGAAAATAATAACACGAGGCAGGGGGACTTTTAATGAGGACAAATTAGACTTGGGCAGCGGAGAGCTACGAGGGACGAGAAGTTTCATTACATGACCTACATGGAGAGAGCGTTTTTCAAACGCGGCGAACTCATTGACAGGACGATCGGCCTTGATTTCAACTTCGTTTCCGGTTGGAACTGAGCAAAACTACTGAGGAAAAGTGTTTCCGCCACTTGCCAACATCAGTGAGCAGGGACATAACGTATCTAGACACCTAAAATGTATTTATTCACTGCATTTAGTAAAACAATACAATACTGTTTTCAAATTGAATGTTTTGGCAATGACTTTTAAACTAAAAGTTCACACAGGTGTCCTTCGTCGCATTTACTATGGACATTAAAAAAAAAAAAAAAACAATCAGAAAATGTCCTTGTAATAACATTTTTAACTCAAAATAAATTTTTGTGCACATTACAATAAATACCTCTTGGTTTAATACATTCTTATATAATGCAAAGACAAACATACATTTTTATGATTAACTTAAAGGTACTTTAAAAGTCTTTGACTTTCTTTTTTCTGCACAATACAAAAAGCATTTTTAGAAAAATTATTCAACTGTTTTTGTCCATTGAGTTGGATTGACATTGGACTCCATTGACTTTCACTCAGTGAACAAACTTTTTTCAAAATTATTTTGTGTTTTACAGAAGAAGAAAGTAAGTCATGCTTCTGGTCACAGGTAAGGTTAAACATACACATACAATCGTTCGTGCTTTGACAAATCACAGATCCCGAATCAGTCGCCCATCTCTTAACCGCAGTGAACCGAAAGCTGAAACCGATCCCGAAGCGGGTCGTCGAAGTGCAGCTCCCCGATCGCTCACCGGCACTACTTGACATGGCTTTTACTTTGATCTCCCGTCTCCCATTCATTGGCTTCCGACTTCACTGACTCCAATCTGACCCAGATAAAGACTCTGACCTTTCTGACCAACTCCATTACATGCAGCTGTACTGGGTACAAGCTCTTAAACGACTGCGGTTTAAATGTGGCCATTACTGGAGCCGGTGTCTGCAAAGATTTCATTGTCAGAGCCCGGCAAAGGGAAGATGGCCACACAAAATGACTCTTGACCTTCATTTACATTCGTTAATCAAATGTCACACAGAGTCTGCGTGTTATCAGCGAGTCCGTGTCTATCTCCAGAGATGATTTGTGTTTTCAAACAGGTAAATAGAAGGGTCTGCTACCGCTACGTGACTAAAGGGTAATCGTGGAGCAGAATTCAGTGGTCTTTTCCCACTTTGGACTGATTCTGAGAGCAAGATGCAGGTGAGATGAGATTTATTCAGATCGTTAGGAGAAAAACAAGATTTAATCTAATTATAAACCACACCGCTGGAATAAGAATCTGCAAAAAACATCTTGAATAAAGTGACCAGTGCCATTTTGTCATATATAAATAACACAGAAGCTCACCAACGGATTCGTTCCAATAGAATAAGCATGTCGTGAACAGCACAGCTAATGACCTGAGTGGTACATTTTGCATTCTAATTCATTCAGCACCTAATTGTGAGTGGACACCACAGATAGCTGCCCTCTCTCTCCTCATCTCTCCCCAGACTGCAGAGAAGCCCGGCTCAGAAAGGTCAAAATGGCCGACATTAATCAGATCGCCATATCCACAACCCCTCCCCGCCATCGTTACTGTGCTAATCACTCTGGGTTTGGTTGCAGAGAGGTTTACTCCTAATTATTGTCATTAATAAATCAGACGAGTCAGGCTGTCGGGATGAAAGAGAGGCCGTCCCTGCTTGCCATCCATCAGGGAGGCAGAGTGCAGGAGAGTCCAGTCATTAAGAAGCCTTTGAGACACACGGCCACATTGGGGACTCAGCAGCTCAGACAATAACACGCCTAACTTTTTCATCAACCTGTGGCTTCCGCAACCAACCAGGAGACGACGATCCCAGAAAATCATCAGTCACGTACAAAGGAGCGAGTTAAAATAAGAGAAGAAATGTTGCAGAAAAGCAGGGCGCTGTGGGATTTCGGGAAAGCAACAGTCTGTGTACATAGAGACTGTGGCAACCAAAAGTCTGAGACCACGTTGAAAATTAGGGATTTTTGTCCATTTAAAATTGGAAATAAGTAAAGTTTTAGCATTTTGAAACAGTTTAAATGAAGTCCTGATGTAACCAAATCAAACACTAGCCAAATAAGTATATGGGATCACAAATCAGGCTGAATAACATGGGAAATTTCAATTTGAAATAAAATTTGCATTTATTTATTTAAAAATAGTTATTCACAGTACAAGCATTTTCATTGATGGTCTCAGACATCTGGACCCCATTAAGTTTATACTAAGTGTTTTAAATAAACCTTTTGTAATCTATTAACACATTAATAGTTTTATCATTGTGTAGAATAACAAAATGTATATGAAATAATGTTAAAATAATGTTACGTTCACTCTAGGCTGATATATCTTTTGCAAAGAACAGAATGGATCCTAATGCATTTAAATCATTTCTATTTGGAATAATTTGATCATACATACACACACACACATACACTAGATCAAAGGTTTGGGGTCACAATGAATTAAAAAAAAAAAAAGAAGCTAATACTTTTATTTAACAAGGATGTATTAAATTGATCAAAAGTGTCAGTAATGACAAAAAAATATATTTCAAATAAGCAGTGTTCTTTTGAACTTTATATTAATCAAACAATCCTAAAAAAAATCTATTCCACATAAACATTAAGCAAGACAACAGTTTTCAACACTGATGATAATAATAAGACATGTTTCTTGAGAACCAAATCAGCATATTAAAATTATTTCTGAAGGATCGTGTATATTTGCATTTATTTATATATTAACCAAATTTAAAATTAGGATGCAGTATGATCTTTTCTAATTATAATGAAGTAGATGTGCGTTTTAGTTACAGGTGCCATCTAAATACATCACATTTTGGTGCCTTAACATCCGAATAGAAATATTCACTCAAAAGCCAGCAACCATCAATACAAAAAAGTGTGCTCGTTTCAAAACACAAGCAAACACACACGCTCACCCTGTTACCACGCGTGTTGAGGACAACAGCTAAAGCTTGGCGAATATCTGTGTATGTGTGTGTGCTTGCCATGCCGCAGGGAGAGAGAGATGGAGAGAGACGTGGCATCACGCTGCCATCACATCTCATCAAATTAAGGAAGTCCATTCCACTTAAACGAGTTCTGTGAATCTAAAATCGACCATTAATGCAGTGTCATGTTAAATTAATACTGTCATCTAAATTACTGGTATGAATCTTTCACATTTGAAATGAGACCAAGAATGACTTATTCATTCTCTGCTATCTCCTCTGATGTCATCCCCATTAAACATAACCAGGCGAGCTGTCTTGGCCTAATTGTATTAGAGTGTTAGGGGAGTGTTAGGCTGTTCAGAAATCATCATTTAGTATGCTGATCAACGGCTTTAGAGAACTGAATAATATCTGAAATGAGTCGTGCTACAAGGCATGCTGCAACTGACAACACATGAGAGAGAGACATCAAGGAGATATGAATGCCGGACGGTACGTCCATATAAATTTGATACAGTGAAAAGAAGAAGCTCAAGAGTGAGGCGACTTACTTAAGTGCCTACCATGTGTCATGCCAATCTGACATCAGCGTGAAAGGAGCGTGCGACCCAGTGCCTGTGAGGTAAACACGGACACATGCCCTGGCTTCTTTCCAGCAGCAAGACGAGTCTTTATAGGCTGGAAATGTTTGACTTCACTGAAAGGAAAAGGGCAAACACTGCTGAAAACTTTTTAAAATTAAGATTTTTTTATTAATGTGTAAGAGAGACAAGCTAATGTAATCTGGTAATGAGCCAGACCTCATAAAACTAGTGGAGCTCAACTCCCTCCTTCAGTTTTATGGAGGCTGGCTGCAGGTGAGACTGATTTACTGTCTCTTCCGCACATCTCATGTTCGATAAGACAAAAACACGGTGGAGCGTGTGTCTACATGTCTGAGGTTTAACATGGGAAATACAATGAAACTGGTTTGCATTATAAACAATACTTTGGTAATTGTACACATGCTACACAATTGCTACTACCAGGGTTGTGCAAATTTCACAACTGAAAAACTGACTCCCTTTCAACTCATGACAGGAAGTTACTAAAATAATATGTAAATCGTAATGTCAGGAAGAGGAAATTGATGAATTGCATCTTAAAGAAATTCAGTATACTGTAGTAGAGCATTCTGGGAAATGAAGTGTTTAGCCACTCTAATTCACCAAGGTTAATTTATTAGAATTAACTTAATTCTAATTACTTCTATAGTTGGCATTTCAAACATATCTATCTATCTATGCCTATCTATCTGTCTGTCCTCAAGGATTTTTAAATGTTTTTACCGAGCTAAAATTCAACGTTTGTCTTGGCAATAAAAGTATAGCTACAGGTCTCTGTATTTCCTTAAATTTCACTTCATTTTAATACGATTTCCTTACATTCAACTTCGAACTAGAATCCTGTTTGCTACATTCAAATTCAGAAACTGAATTGTAATTTAAAAGGCATTCACGATCCAGCTCTGAATATACTATAAACACATACATTCATACAGCATTTGTCATGTTTAAATGGCATGTTAAATATGAAGGATTTACCTCAAAAATGTTTTAGCGGACTTGAAGCATTTATAATCGTTATGTCAGCAGAAATCGTCACTCAAAAGTTTGGAACAACCCCAAAGCAAAAGGTTTTTCCTGCTAACCATAATTGCAGACAAAATGCTATGGCCACTACAGCGTTTGAAAGAATGAATATCATTAGCGGTTATACTAAAAAGCAAGTGTGGTCTCTTGATATACGCCACAACTGTTATAAACAAACGATTCTGAATATGGCACGAGTCTGAAAGCTTCTTACCCTTTGGACATAATTTCGATTTTCATTCACTGAAGTTTTACAGAAGTAAAAACGAGGTATTTTGATACTAGCAACTACAGTGATTAATTTACTTTAAAAGAATATGGTTTAAGAAGTGCTTCAAAGATTAAATGCACGCACACCACGTATGGAACCTGGTTGTTAAACTGAAAACCGCATGCATTGAAATCTGAAAATAACATGAGCATTTGTCGCCATCTAGTGGCAAAAATCAGAAAAAAGAACGACTTCACACCACAATACAGCCTATTTATTGGGCCCGGGGCTAAATATAAACAATGACCTTGTATATAACTATGTTAGCTTACTTTCGTCTACTAAAAGGCGGCGAAAAAATGTTGATACTTCTACAAGCAAACGAACAGGGTCAAAATTTGCATTGGTACTAGCTTGCAAAGACTGTTGATCATTTTCTGCATTATTAAGCTCAATAATGCATTCCAGTCTTGTCTTGTTAAACATCAAACCAGCAAATCCTTTTCATGGACAAATTTAGATCACAGACAGGACAACCTGTGTTTGCTGAGAGGTCTGACATTCTTGAACCAGTAAGACCTGATGAAATATGGCTCTGCTCCTTACAGCGAGGCCTGGTAAACAGTTTCATATTCATATTCTCCTGCTCTGCAACTCTTCCTACTGACAGCCATTGCCACGGGCCAAGATCTCTCACAAAGCCGATGTGCATTTCAACATGGTGTGTTCAAAAAAAAAAAGTCAGATGGACTGAAACTGTTCCGAGCAGTAGCAGAAGAGAGGGAGAGACGTAAAAAAAAAAATCTTAAGGGCAGAGATAGGCTGTCTGGTCACATTTAGAGACTGGGTGTCATGGGAAAATAGCGCCACCAGACAAGTTTGTCCATTTGGATTCATCTACCTCGCCTGGCTGTGGCTGCACCGTTCCTGGGGCTATAATGGAGGAGGCACGGGATAAATGTGACCTACCGCTCATAGAGGGCAGAACTACCAGTGTGCTGTCAGTCTACCTGTGAGCATCAGACATCAGCATGCACATAAACACGCACTTTAAAAATACACCATTGTAAAATAGAAGGATGAGTAAAGGATGTCATCTAACAAAAGTGTTTAGATTAGTTTCTTACATGTGTATGAGTTTATATATACTCAAACACGAACTAAAGTGAGGTGGCCAGCTGCATAAAAAAAAAGCATTTTTACAATGATTTTTAACTATAGATTGGTCCGGATATATATCTTGGATGTAGCTAATTTAAAGTCAATGCCTCTTATAAGTCATTTGAGGAAAAATAATAAATATAAAAAAAAAACTACTTTTTAATGTTTGTTCAAATACAGTAAAAACTGTAATGTTGTGAAATATTACAATTGAAAATAAATCTTTTGTAGCATTATAAATCACACACACACACACTATTTTAATCCAGCAAGGTTGCATTAAATTGATCAAAAGTGACAGCAGAGAAATCAATAATGCTACAAAATATTTATTTTAAGTGGTCATAATATTGTGTGATATATTGTGCGTGTGATATTCTTTACGGTTTCTTGCTCCCTAAACAAATATGCAAATTTGTGACATTGACTATATATACTTTTGTTGGAACAGAGGGTCAGATTTTCTTGCTTCCACTGAAACACAAGATGCTCTTTGGCACATTCTCAAATCCTTAAAAGCCCAATCAAAATGCACACAGAAGTTGAAAGTGAAAAATTATTTTCAGAATGGAATTAAGAATAAAAGATCACCATTTGAGGGTTTGTAAAAAAAATTAAAATACTCACAGACCAGTATTGCTTTCATTTTCCAACCAATTCTATACAATTAATTATTTATTTCAGAAACTGTAGTTTTTTTCTTAAATGTTATAATGGATATATGCTTTTTAAAGTCTACATTTAGTGAATGACAGTAAAAACAAAAATCAAATGTAATCAAAGTTGAATTTTAAGGAGATCATTTGCATTTTATTATAGGAGTGCATTTGTCATATGTAAACAGATTACACCAGATAACAGATTATGTTATATTCCATATTAAAGGGAGAGTTCACTCAAAAATAATTCCTCTGATATAACTCTATCTGAAATTGGATATTAAGACACTGGGAGACAGACTAGTGCTACAGTGACAAGGTATATATATAAGACTGAAATGACAATGTATGCTTATTTGGTCTAAATTGTATTCATCACCAGTCCTCTCAAAACACTTGCTTGATGGATTATTATAGAGAGAACTGGACTAAACAAAAAATAAAAAGAGTTGGGTGGAAATACATATCATGCCTTGAAAATGACTATATAACTGAGAAATCTAGCAGCAAAGAGTGATTGTTGTTTTTACATGTCACATGTGATACTGCATGAAACAGTCAGATTATCATCAGGTCATTTGGCTCAGACTACTACCATACTATCACCATTTACCACCATTTCCTCAATGTATGCCATCCTCGGCAGAAAAAAAAAACTTGTATGATGCAGCATTCTTTTAGAGACCGTACCCTTATCCAAGCATTTCATTCACATCTTCAGACAATTAAAAATACACCAGTCTAGTCACGTTGAATCAGACACTCCAGTTAGCTAAGCTGAGATACTTCATAGAAGTAAGCTCCCAACATCTTGGTGCCCTGAATATAGTTGGATCTGTCAAGGCAAAAAAGGGGGAAGATATTGAAAAACAAAATGTAAAAGATTGCCATTAACATTTTCAAGCATCCCAAGAGCATCTCATCTATCAGATAAGAAGGTCTCATAAATAAAATTGGCCTATGAGAGCAATGATTACCTGCTATCATATGCATTTGCAGTTTCGCAGCCACACCTAAATAACAAGACATAGCTATGCGTAAACATTACCTGTTGAGTTTCTCGTTTTGTGAGTGAGCCCCATCGTCAGAAGAACCGACAGGCAGCAGCATGACATTCTGGCCGGTTGCTTCTTGGAAGGTTAGAGTCACCGGGATACTTCCTCCCTCACGGGTCAGATCAGGCTCCACGCCAAATACTAACATCAGGGAAAGATACAGAATTACATTAAGCCACAAGTGTTTAGAAGGAATTAGAAGGAAAAAGGCCACATTGTTGCTTTGACAAGATCAAAGTCAAATATGTCATTGTGTATTTCGTTGGACGACAGGTTTATAAATGTTTTTCATTACACTGCGGTGTACATGAGCTCTATGTCAGAGAAAAGAGTGCGAGAAAGCACAGCTGGTATCAGTGTATCGATGCTGCGAGAAAAGAGTATTAAAACCGTTATTATAGCTATTTCAGTATTGATATGTTTTGAAAAATTGCTACACTTGTATCAACATTATATAAATATCATGCATCGGTAGTTGATGCATTTAAATATCTATGGTCTTTATTGAAATCAATATGAAAATGTGTTTAAAATGTATATGAATGAATGAGGGAAAGTGTTTTAGATGCAGTAATTTCAGACATTACTTCATGTTTTTTTAAACTACTTTTCTTCTGGTATTCTGGTAACTTCTGGTATTTCATGTCAATGTAGACTGGAATTACATGAGCAGTCTTATATCTACAGTCATACCATATGTTGTGTCTTACCAGTCTTCATGGCCTTTCTGCCAGCCATGTAGTGAGGATGGTTAAAGTCAGACACCCAGGCCTTGGCTCCATGTCCCATGTACACTTTCAGTTTGTTGGGAGTTTGCAATTCTGCAAACTTCTTCTCCACATGGGTAATTACCTATAAGATAAGCCGCACATGTGAGCACAAGCACGTCTGTAGCACAACAGTCATGTCTGTAAGGTATGTAGATGACTCTTTGAGGTTGGATGAGATCAAATAACTTCAAACCTGTTTCTCCACCACTTTGGGATCCATATCAGGGACCAGGCGGATAGAGAACTTGCCAATGACCTTGCGGGGAATGACAGTTTTGGCTCCTCCTTCAGAGAAAGCTCCCTCTATGCCATGCAAAGAAAGGGATGGGAATCTCCAACGATGCATCAGAATTTGCTCCTGCACAATAAACCAATATATTATTTGGCTTAATATACATATCATTGAACATAAAACATGAATTTATATAAATGTCGGCAGCATTATTAAAAATGCCAATTTTTGAAACAGTCTTGTTTAAAAAAAAAATCGTATCATTATTACAATAGTTTATAATAAATAATTTTAATCAATTAACACCCCTATTTGAGTCAGTGTTATTTTACTATCATTTACTAGATTGACATACTATTATTTTTTTGGTTATTATTCTGAATTACATTTTATTTGTATCTTTTTTGTTTTCATTTTAATTTGAGTTAATTCAATTAATTTTGTTCTGTGTTTATCATTTTTATATTTCCATATTTTTTAGTTTATTTAGCTTTAGTTATTTTAGTACTTCAATTTAAGCGAAACGAAAATGGGAAATGTTGCCTTGGCAATTAGCTGAAATAAAATAAGTGTAAGTTAAGTATATATATATGAAGAGTTCATTTGCAAAAACCAATAAGAAATCATGTTTTTTTTATTACGAATTCCAAGTAATATCAATCAAACTGCAGTTGGGTTGTTTTGATTAGGTAATAATAACTGAAACAAATACAGGTAATTTACAAAATTAAAGTTGTAAAAATGTTTTTTTTTTTATATTAAAAGTTTGTTTTATAGCAAAAGCAGATAAATCCAACAGTCGTTTTTTGGCAAAAGCAGAGAACTCCACATTTCATGTTTTAGAGTTTTAAAAAAAGTACTCGTTTAATCTTTGTAATCTCCTCAGATGACAATGTAGATGCCTGACAAACGTTGTTGTGATCATAAACTGTATGGATGTGATTACACGCAATACACGGAGCTTTTCCATCACCACTGTAACGCGCTGCTTTTGCAAAGTTCCGAGAAAACGTTTCAGCTTTTATTTTCCTTTTTCGCCCTGAAGAAGAACAGCGTGCTGATTCGCTAAAATGGACTTATCGGTTTCTGTTCAAAAACAACAAGGGCGCTTGTCGGCTTCTGCAGTAAAGTGTGAACTCAGCTTATTTTTTTTAAGTGGTGTTTATCGGTTTTTGCAAATGAACTCTATATATATATATATTCTATATATATATACACAATTTATTTATGTTTATTTTATTTCAAG